ATTATGGGTCTTCATTGGTAAGTTTAATTTGCCCTCTTTTTTGTTTTGTTATCTTTTTTACATAACAATAGCAGACAAATAAATAGATTGCTATACCTATGCTCTGATCGTAGATATTAGTCATATGGACACCGGAGCAGTGGTAGATTTTCAATGTTAATTGATAACCAAATTGCTGATTTGTTATTATGTATCTCATGCACCTGCTTGTCAAAGAAATCAATGTTAACCGTTAATGGAAAGAGAAAGATGAGATGGAAGCTCTTGAATGAGTTGTTCCACCCACAGTACTTTGTAGAGTAAGGAATTTTGTGACAGTAGAAACCTTGAGTCAGTTTATAGAGTTGCAATTGAAATCAACATGGGGGAAGAGCTATGTTTTCGGACTCGGACCAGACATAGACTCGATTGAGCTTAGGAGTCAGGAGTCAATGGGTTCAACCGAGGTCATTCGGAGATTGAACTGGATGACATCATAAATACGTCATATATATATATCTTTTTCCTGCAAATCAAATTTACAAAATATAACCAAAAACCAGTGATCCAAATTCATATCCAATTCCCCAAATTGCACATGTTTAATTTGAACATCCTTAATTTGCTTCCAAAGATTGTTAAGCAATTTTGTGGGAGACTTTGTAGTACATACTAAACTATACTTAGATTCATATGTATTCAGCTGCAATACATAAAGATAAGAGAAAACAAAAAAGTAAAAGTCAGTTTAATACATTCTCGCTACATTTACATAATTTGATGACATTTTCAGTTGCATGGTCAATCAACAGAGTCTTCTACATGGTTAATCAACCTTTGAGCTAGCTTAGCAGTCTACTTCCGTCCTACCCCAGTTAAGCCAAAAGAGAAAAAGAAAAACAAGAATGCCAAAAAAAAATAAAAAGAAAGTGATAAGTGAATGCTAAATATCAATCTAAAACACTGATTTCAACTTTCAAGCAACATAAGAGGTAGTTTTTAACTTCAACGTCTAAAATCTAATTAGTGTCTATTACTTGTGCCAAAAAAATTAAAAAAAAGTAGTTATCTAGTTTCTGCAATTCCAACTTAAAGTAGCCATCCTGATTTCTGCATATCTCAGGAACCAACAATGGAGTTACCAAAAAATGCATCCCAAAATTTTCAGTAATTTTACATTTCCTCAAACACATAGAAGGCAACAAAGGAAATCCATTAATTCAAATAAAAGAATTAAGAAAAAGTCCCCAATAAAGCTCTTGCACGTGTTTTGCCTGAAATTTAACAAATAGATCATGTGAAATTAAATTAACGAGTGCCTCCACATTGCTGGTCATTCACGCTTTTCCCTACATCAAAATTAGATAGCATTTACCCCAATAATGCAATTGGTGTATAGAGCTTGTACTCCCTTCTAGGAACTTACTTGGAGATTTCAGATGCGCCGTCGGCAATGGCGACAAAGATCGGTGGCAGCAAGAAGATGGAAACAAAGCGACAGAGATTTTAGAAATTTAGGGCTGGAGTGAAGTGAAGTCCGGGGTGTCAAATTAGGAATTTGGCTTGGGATAACTAGTGAAAGCCTGAAAAGTCAACAAAAGACAAATTTTTTTTAAAAAAAACCCGGTTCTTGCCGATTTTAACGGTTCACGGTTCAACCCGATTTTTGACCGGGTTTGACCGAGTATTAAACAGAGGGGGTTCTAGAAGAACTCGGACAGGATGAATGGCCGGTTCGCGGTTCGACCGGTCGAACCGGCCGGCCCGGTCTGAGTTTAATAACACAGGGGAAGAGTTAATGGATTGTCGTCATTGTACAGTGTTAGAAATGTGAAAGTCCATGAACAAAGAGAAAATATGGGTAAATATTCTCTATCTCCTATGTTTGGCAAATATCCACTTTATGATTCTCTAACATCTCTTCTTCACATATTTGGCCTTAAGGTTAGGGTAAAGATTGCAGCATGGTAGCATTGTCTCATCTTAGTTCACTTTAGCTTAATTTTGTTGGTAAATCCAGGGATCAGGAATTTGATAAAATGAAATTCAGAGCAGCGATGAGTGAAAATTGAGATGTAGAGGCAGAAATTATCAACTATGCAAGCAATGTGATGCAAAAAATAAAAACTAAAATCTACATGCTGAAAATCAAAGCTCAAAAACAATCCATCCAAACTAGAACAAGTTCTAAATGAGGGATTCCGAGAGAAAGACATACTTTATGAACATAGTCACTCAATCAGATATTTCTGGTCTCTGATACTGTGACAGAGTCTTCCATGTTACCTTAACCTCTCTGCAAAAACATATGATTAGGAAAAATGAGCAGAATAATTACATGAACATGAAACATACAACAATCACTATAAAAAAAGGGAAATATCATAAACACTTAACTAATGAAAGTTATTTTATCTTTAACCTGAGAAGTAAAAATACAAACGACTTACCTTCTTAATTAACATGGTTAGAAGAAAGACTAGGAGGGGAAAAATGAGATGAACATGCCCAATTTAGTAAAATGATTTGTACTTAATCCAAAATGGATATGCTCTCAAAATAGTGAAAACATTTATATTAATATAATTTTTGGGCTTTTAATGCAGAAAGTAGACCATATCTCAAATCTTTCTGATTCATATGAGAACCAGGTCGGAACTTTTATATTTTCTTCCTCAAGAATCTCAGCATAGTCCTATATCAAGAAGCAATCAGGCAAAATAGACAGCAAAACATCTAATTTGCTTTAGATAAAGAAATGTTTGAGGTACACTGACATAGTCACAACTCAAAAACAATACCATAGCTTGCAATCTGTTTGGAATTGTCTCAAATGCAATCAGGTTAGCACCAGAGTCGGCAAGGACTTGAACTCTTCTTCTATGGAAATCTTTCAAAAGTCTCCGGAGTCACCACATCCCCATATATGCCACTGCAAGATTACACTTATGGACCACAAAATACAAGCCAGCTAGCCAATAACATTACCTTCTTCACTGTTCACAAATTTAGCAAGGCTTCTGCAGATCGCTCACCTTCACGCCTGAGAAGAAAAATAAATTCATGAGGAATACAATTGTATGAACTCAAGGCATGTAAGTTGTATTTACATAGAGTCAACATCAGGACAAATATCATTTTGACAAAGCAAGTAAAAAAAAAACAGAGACTTTTTGAAAACTCCGATATTTCACATACTCAATTTTTGGGATCCAAAGAACCTTTTGGAAACCATTGGATGGTTAGGTTACCAGAAACACCATATTTACTGCAAATGCTCTTATGCTCATTGCAGTCCGCCTACAATAAATATAATTTGATAAAATTTCAAAACTTAAACTTATTTTTTGCTATAATTCACAGTTAAACAATTGATTAATCTTTTAAATATTGAAATTAAATCAAATGCAAAATAGAAGATTCACAACAGCTAAGAAAGTTAAACTGATGTTGATGCCAACAAACAACCAGATAGCAATGGACCTCAGGTTCCACTTTCTCAAGATTTTAGTTATGGAAATCAAATAGAGCATATCCAGTTTGCAAGAATGAAAAGAAAAAATGTAAGCACTTTTCAAAAATATGAATGCGGACTCAGAAGTGCCATTAAATGTGGTTCAATGAACCAGAGAGAGACAGAAACAAGAAACAGAAGAAAGGAGAAGAAAAGAAAATGATGGTCTTTCACTATACTGCTCATTCAACTCTCTCTCTCTCTCTATAAATAAATATTTCGCATTTTCTACACTCCTCTCCGCCCCCCACCTATTGCTACTACTGTTCAATCTTCACCGCCACTGCGCCACACCACCTGAATCTATCTCTCTCTCTCGTTTTCTCCGCTCTCCTTTTTTCGGTTCCTCCTCTCTTGTTACTTTATGAAAGGATAAGAAGAAAAGGGAAACTTACTTTGATGGAGTATTTATTTTGGGTTCCGTTTGATTTGTTTCTCATCATTTCATCTTATGCTGGTTCCTTTTTGCTCCTACTTGCTTGCTATGTTTGCTGGTGATTTCTAGGCAGTGAAAAATCAGACCCCAACAGCCTGAGAATAGGATAGTTTTGCAGCAATTTCTGGAAAACTGTTAGGCTTCCTGGTGCTCGGTAGAGAACTAAATGGTGTATAGGTATATATAGGTATTTCCTAATCAGCCCAATTAGTTCAATATACTGCATCCACCTCCAGCCCCCATTCACTCTATCTTTCGGGCATGCACATTAGCAAATATAATCAGTACAACAACCAAAAATGTGCAATAGGCTCAGAAATAATTAATCAGTCTCTGTCAGAAGAAGATTATTCTCTCCATGTATGTAATGAATATGAAAAGTTAATAAAAAGAGAAGCTCTTGTTCAACAAAGATGTGAAAAAAATTCAAGATCAACTTAGGCATCTGATAAATCACAGCTAACTCAAGACCAGTACAAAGTCACATAAACTGCTAATGCTAAAAGCAAAACAAGCAGAAGCTAACATAAAGCAGATTACAGGCAAACATTAGTATCAAGGAAATAAAATGAACAACCAGTAGAAGACTTTTTTGAATACCTGTACAGGTGCCAGCTTAGGTGGAAGCGTAAAGCCAGGGTCATTCCCACGAGTCATGATAATACCTCCAACAAATCTCATGTTAATAGCCCATGATGTCTACCACACATGTTGCCTTTGTCCATTTTAAATGCCTTTGTCCATTTAATAGCAGACAGACTGTTTAGGGAATTGCACCTTTCATATTTCAAATACCAAATGTAGAACAGCAAAAAATTGATGCAAAACAACTATATATGGTAGGATATTTTGGAAAAGTGTTCAGCAATGAAAAAAGCTCAATAAATTTTAGCATCATCGTCAATTACACCAATTGCATGGGCCATAGAAAATCACAAAAAAGGTAAAATGGTAACACAAAAATCTTCTCAATACACAGTACAAAATGATGACAATCAAATTTTTAACTTGCATACAAGCAATCCTCTGGAGAAATGAAGCAATAAGGTAAGAAGTAAAATTGTTTTAAAAAATTTGAGAAAAAATTACTCTAACCTAAAACCCAACTCTTTCCACGACCCCCTTTCCAACCAGACCTTTCAAAATAGGCCCATGTGGTCAATATAACCACAAAATTGAGGACATATCACTACATTTGCGTATACATGTGTACGCACAGTAGTTTTCGACTTCAACAATCAACCCAGCTCTGATCTGATGTGCTATAAGTGAAAAATTAATAGCATATTCAACCTAAAGACTGTTATTTCTGTCTTTCTCTAAGGTAGCTATTGGGAAGTTTATTGTTTAGCTTTCCTGCTATACATTGATCATCCCAGAACATAATGAGAAACTGCATTTTACAATCTAATAGGCATCAGCGCATGAGCTTATCTTGGTGTAATTCTGTCTGGATGCATATAACCCATGCCCTCTATCAAATTAATAGCATGCAGCAGTGAATGCATTGGGAAGTAATGTGGTGACAAAGAAAGCAAATCTCAGGGTTTATTGAAAACAAAATTCCTTAAATGCCTAAACTTCTAACATCTTACAACTGCATGAGGCAAACTTCTCCATCAAAACTTGGTACCAATCCAAAAAGAACTTGATGCTCAGAGAGTTGAGGAGCCATTCCCCTAGTCATCCGAACATGACGGCACCAATTCACCCTCAATGCATGACAGAGCAACATAGTCATTGACCAGCATAGCGAGTTTGTAATCTCTTTCTCTCAAACTCAAGCTAGCAAAAACACAGAAGATCAAAAAGTTAGTAATGAGGTGAGATGACACTATGCATTTCACTTAACAGAGTTCAACATTCAGAAGGATCCCAGTTGACAGTCTCGCCACTTTCTGCACTCGCTCATTGGCAGCTGGAGTTCCTCCAACGACGGGCTCGGGAAGATTTGGGCTACTAAAGCGCACTTCATTCATCACAACTATAGTAGTCTTGTCCCAGTGCACTGGAAGCCTGTATACATGATGAAATTAGTAATATGAATGATAATCCTTTGTTTCATCTTTATTTGGGCTTATGCATAAGATAAATTTAAAGGCAGAACAAATACTAAATGAAAAGTAGCCGCTAATAGTAAATAACACCATAACAATCACTAAAACAACTCTTTTTAAATGATAACATACAAATGGTCATCCAGAAAGTTCTTTTCTGCATATCATAAGCCAGCTGAGTGTATTAAATATTCAAATGTGACGGTCTAATCAGTATATGTGAGTGTATATGTGCACACACACGAGAAAGGGAGAGAGAGAGAGAAATTTGGAGAAGCATTTTTTTTCTTTTTTTCTTTGGGAGGGGGGGTAAGGGAATCACCACCATGTAGCACCTCTATTAGTTTTGCCCAAAAAAGTCAGCATGCGATGCATTTAATGGATTCAAGATGCCAGAAATGCTGTGGAGTTTCACTAAAGTACCAAAGCGAACTACTTGCATTCATGTCCATGAGTCAGTTAACTGCATTTTCAAGAAGCTCAGGGGGCTTGTTCTTCTGTTCTCTTCAGAAATTTCTGATTAATACCATAGATATTAAACAATTTTAGGCTTGGTTAATCAGATGATTCTAACCAGATTCCTATATGAAGAAATGAAAACCAAATACCAAAGTTGAAAGCAGAAGACTGCCATTCAGAAGGATTGACGTGTTTCCTTGATATTGAAGTTTTATCGATCACATCAGATGAAGATTGAACGAGTAAATCATTGAGATTCAATTGGTAAATTGACCCAAAATAACACTGGATAACCAGGGTAAGAAAAGAATATACCCTGACTTAGTTTAAATGCTGCATTTTCTAGAATCATGTAACAACAACTATATCAGTATATTCTTTTGACTCTTTTCTTTCAGTTTCGCTATTAGAAAAAAAGCCTTAACCATCTTCTGAATTCTCTCTTAGTGGTGTTGGCAAGGATGTAGCAAGAAGAAATATGTTAGTCTTCTAATGAATTTAGACAACATGGATGGATTTGTTTTGCACACAACATTCATATAGTGGACAATGGCATTCGAAGAATTAAAAAGGAGATTCCGCATAGGAATAGGATTGTTTTGCAGTTTTGCTCTCCAATTCTGCATCAAACACTACTTCTGAAATGGAGTTGTTTATGCATCTGATGCTCAAGGTTAAGCTATTCTAATAGCTCAATGAACTTTATGAAATTAAGCATCTCAAACCTGATAGTACCTTTAAATGGAAGCCACACTATCTACTCAACATCTATGATCTTTCATTAGAAACAATTATTTTGATTAGTAAAGATTTCTTTTTGACGATAAACCCTTGGAGTTGTATAACCACAGTTAATTCTTGAAATAACATACCATTTAGTTTATGCAAAAATCTGCTCTTTGTCAACAATTGGATGTCATAACAACACTAGCATTACCAGAACTTATTTATCACAAAATAGAAATAACAAGTCAAGACTGCAAAGAACCAATATTTTCAATTAGCACAAGAGGACAGAAAAAACTACATAAAATATACTGAAAAATCATATTGAGAAAGTCAAACCGCTAATAGAAGATCAAGAAATAGCAATAAAGAAATGACAAACATAAAAACTTACGTTTTGAACAGAGCATAAAAAATGCTCTGAGTTTCATCTATAACATCAATCCCAAATCTTTAAGCCTCCAACTCAGCTTGCCTAAAAAATGCTACTTATAAAATCAACCGCAATAATCACAAAATAGTCCAAATCCACAACTTGGTCAGAAATTTTTTTAAAAAAAATAATTTGAAATACCTAATAACAGAGTCTTCTCTGGCTTGAAGATTATTAAGATCAATAAAACATTTCTTCAGATCAAGAAGGTCTTCACCTCGACCCAAAAAATTAAACTCCTTTATGTAATTGGCTTTCAATAGCCTAATATTCCTCTTTGGCCCTGACCCTAAATTTGTTCCTTCTTGTATTCTTCAAATCCAAAGTTAAAGAATTTCAAAACCCACAAGAAACATTACCAATTCATAATAAGTACTGTAAATGCATGCGAAAATACTGAAAAGAAAAAATGAAACTGTTTAAGGGAAAATCTTGAAAAACAAGAGGAGAAGGATATGAAGAACAAGTATGTTGGATGAGCGGTCAAAGGTCAAGACTTGGATGAATGGTCTTGATGGAGAGTATGCATCCTACTGCGAAATCTTCATTACTGTTATGCGCTTTCATGGATTTAGGCTTCTCTTCTTTTCGGCTTGTAGTTCACGTGATTTTTGAGGTTTTTGTAATGGAGTATCAGTTTCTGAAGAGAAGAGACAGAAGAGAGGGAAAAAATGGGGGAGGGAATGTACGGAAGCTCAATCGACCAAAAGAAAAATCGTGTGGTTTGGAAAGGGAAAAAGAACAAAAAAAAGGAAAAGAAAATGAAGGACAAAGAAGATAGACCACAAACAGTGCTCTACAAAGGTCTCCCCTCAGCTCACCTGCTCTCTGACAAGAGGAAGAAGCAAGAAACGAAGAGGAATAGAAGAGAAGAATTAAAGGTGAAGTGAGGGCGACCAAACTTGCCACCAATCTCCTAGTGAGGACGCTTGGAACTGAAATGTGTAGGGTTAGTGGAGCATTTGTTCGTTTCAGCAGAAGCTGAACTCCCAGCTAAGTAGAGTGTATGGGATAAAACGTACATTACCCACACACCCCTCAAAGAAAAATAGAAATAAAAAATACAACAAAAGGTCGGGAAGTAAATAGGTGCAGACCAAAGGGTTAACACCGTAATATCAACAAACCTCAGAGCCCAATGAAGACAAGACATTACGAAACAACCGCCTGACTGTTTGACCAGAAACCGAGCCCCACATCAATAGCACATCTATACGGTTGATCAGAAGCGAATCATATGGTACCACGTGGCGGATAAGACGCCGACGTGGAACCGCAGCTTTCACACTAGTCTATATGGTTGACTAGGAGGGTAAGTGAGATTGTATAAATTAGTTGCCCAATTATATGTCTACTAAGTTTGTATTTTTTCTAAAAAAAAAAGAAAAATATATTATTATGGGAGTCATATGAGTTAAAAGGGTGTCAATGTATAAATGCAATTTTGCGTAATGATATTAAATTAGAAATTAGTTTTGCATTAATTATTTAGGGAGTTGATAGCTATGATGCATATATACAAGCAATATCAATTCTCAATTGGTATGCGACTTACATTCATACGAGTGTGATAATGTACTTTGTCACCGTGACTTTTGTATGTGCCAAAATCAACTGTGAATTTAACTTTCATATGTTACAACCAAAGCTTCACATTTTATTGTGAAAATTAAGGATGATGCTATCTGATAGTTTATAAATTTTTAAGCTTCACATTTTATTATGATAGGTAAGGATGATGCTATCTAATAGTTGATAAATTTTTGAAACCAAACACTTGATAATTCGAGAAACACATGATTCAGATTAAAATGACAGAACTCCAATAAAAATCTGTAGAATTTCCACACTATTCAACTCTCTACTTTTGCTGTAACTTCAGGCATAGAGAAAAAGAAAATGAGCTGAAAACCACAACATAAATAGAATAAAGGCAATTTCAATTTACTAAAAATTACTTGTGTCCTATAGATCAATGCTTGATCGTGCTAAGAAGTTTGGATTATTTTCTCAGGCAATAAATTCAAGAAGTTCAGGAGGATAAGAACATCTTTTGTAGAAAAACAGAAGAGCCGATGGAAAAAAAAGATAAAAAAAGTAGGCATTTAAATCACTTTTGTAGAAAAATAAAAGAGCCAAAAAAAAAAAGAAAGAGAAAACAACAGTTAAATAGTTTCTAATTTTAAATTCAAGTTAGCATCAACTCATGTAGCTTAGTCTTTGCTTTGAGTTGATTGAAGCTAAAAAACCACAACCAAACGGTTCCAAATAAATTGAGTTATTTTAGCTTTCAAAGGAATCTTCAATATCAAAGGTTCCAATAGGTTCCAGAAAATGCAACCAATAGTTTCCAAAAAAATTGATTTTCTGAATTTTTTGTAGAAAAATACTGTAGTGATTTGATATATGTGAGGTAAAAAGGTGCTTGGAAAATATGTTCACGAATAGCGTAGCAATTTTTCTTTGGAAAATTGCTAGACAAACAAGGCCTTTCTTTATTTAGCTTCCAAATGAATCATCAATATGAAAGCAATACAAAAGCAATTCTCTTTTCTGAACAAGGAAATCCACTTTCCAAATAAGAGTAATCAATAACTTCAAAAAAAGAAAAGAAAAAAAATATCATTACAACGAACCCGCCCGCCATGATTTTTACCTTTAACTATTAAGAAGTCATACAGAGTAAGAGAAGGAAATCAAAAGATAAAAGGAAGACAAAAAACAAAAGATATGCAAGCTACATGCCTCTTCTTGTCCTTAGGCAAGCAGGACACGGAGCTTCAGTTTAACCAAGCACTCCAATCTCCAACATCCTAACTCATTAGATTCAGTTCCACCGACGGATTAACATAAACTTCGCACTATCAACTAAATTTAGAAATATCTAATTCAACTTGCTCCAATCAATAAAGTGAAAATTCACACTTTAAAATTTCAATTGTCCTATTTCCCGTAACTAACTACTACATCAAACCATCCAACCGAAGCAAAACTTTCCAATTTGATGACATCAACAATTTGTAATAAAAAAGGAACCGTCTCTTTATACTAATTATTATGGAAATAGCTATGGAATCCGATTAAAACTTAAGTCATAAAGAGGGGAAACGATAAGCAGGAGGCATAATAATAAAAGTAAAAATTGGGAAACCCCAAGTTTTGGAGTTTCGAAAAAATAAGGGGGACAAATCAAGGGCACAAAATAGCATTGATATAAAAGACAAAAAGTCGTATGTGTGTTTGGATTAGGAATATTTGAAATAAAAAAATTTATTTGACAAATTCCAATCATTTTTTTATCTTCTCAATTACATTTCTATCTCACATACATCGTATCAAAAAAAGTACTACAGTAATTATTTCAAATAAATCATCCAAATAAACTCCTATCCAAACAAACACAGTTTATGGGCAGGAAGGCGAAAACATCCATATCGATTTTGTGGTTCACTGGCATATCATTAATTAATATAACGCATCATCAAATTGAAAGACAAAGTAATAACAAGGAATTTTTTTTTAACTTCTAGCCAAAACAATTGGAAAACATTAGACGCAAATACAAGAAACAAAATAAGGGTGTTTTCTAACGCCCAGAAAAAAATCTTCAATAACAATAAAACTAAACAAAATAAGGAATAATTGAACAAAAATAGGGGGTTTGTTTGGATAGTGGGTTATTTCCCCAAATATATTTGTTTACATCACCATTACAATTTTCAATACAGTTTTTTATCTTCCCAATTACCTTTTTATCTCATATACATCACATCACAAAAAGTGCTACAGTAAAAATATCTCAAATAATTTACAATTCAAACAAACCCAGCGTTTGTTTGGATAGTGTTATTATCTTAAATAATATTTCGCTTGCATCATGACCACATTTTTCAACCCACTCTTTTATATTTTCAATCATCTTTTTATCACGCATACATCACATCACATCACAAAAAATGCTACAGTAATTATTCCAAATAATATTTTAAATAATACCCTATTCATCATAACATGTCAGAAAGGGAAACTAATGCATCCGAGGGAGAAGAGTACAATGGGGAAAAGAGGTCTTGCAGAAGTGCAAGAAAAATAGAAAAAGTTTTTTTAACGCAAATCTACAGAGCAAAAAAGATCACCTTATTAGTCTTGCAACCTGAAGAAGACGAAAATGGCAGAGGAGAAGAAAAGGGGAGAGAATGACGAAAAAGAGAGAGAAGCACCCCGTTTCTGACTTTCTGGCCTCCAACCCATCGCCCAAAAGAAACATCGCGTGATTTGGACAAAAAGGACAGACAATGCACAACAGAGAGTGGTTGGTTACCTCGTAAATGCACAACAGAGCCCAATTCGCAAGCATCCAATCACATGCACTGCTCGTGGAGGAGGACAACATACGAACTACTAATAACAAACTTCGAAAAGCAACTCCTTTCATCATTATTCAGTACAATTACTTGAACCTCGGGAAACAATGGCAAGACCCAGAAGGAAATGTACGGTTCCTCGCTCACAAACGTGTGTTGTCCACCTTCCCCAAGAAGAAGTTGAATTTCCGGTTAATCAAACCGGATGTGACAATCCCACATTACCAATATACCCCTGAAAAGAAACACTAACTCCAATATACAATAAAAAAGCGTCCAATGTAAATAGGAATAGACCAATATGCTAAAACCGTCATATCAAGTGATTCTGAGGTCAACGACCACAATACCAAACCAACTGCTCTACTGTATCAGCAACAACTGCAAACCCAAAATCGTTTAAAATATAATAAATTTAAATATATAATTGGCCAAGCAGACGAAGCCCACGTCCAGGAGACCAGCAAGGCCAGTTCACCATTCATGTCAGCAGAAGCCAATCACCTACTGACACATGGGCGGACGACGATTCCTACGTGTCAGCCGTATGGTAGATGAAGAAAATTTTAAAGGAACGACCAACAATGGATTAGATTTTATATAAAAGTAAGGACAACAAAAGAAGTTCCAATTATATACTCAACATGGTAAAACAGCTACTATAAGGGAAAACCAACAGAAAAAAAAAGAAAAGAAACAAAAGGAAGTTTATGTTGTAAAATTAGGTGGCAGCCCCATGCTAGAGTCCCTTCTGGTCGTGCTGTTTCTAAAATTTATTAATAATGTCAACTGACGTTTGAACTTTGAACTGTAATAGATGTGGAAACTGAACTGAGATATTGCTTAATTTATACTCACTTTCGTAACTAATGGAAAAGATCAAGTGTGCATGAAGCTGACAACAATCGCAATTTCTCTGAAGCTGACAGCAAACGCAAAACCTTCAGAAACAATTGACGTTTTTGCTCAAAATATTATTATTTTCTTTGACTGTTTGAGATCTTCGAAGCAAACAAAAAGTTTCCTTCATTGTAATTATTGATTGGCAGTGTAATAAATTTTCCAC